GGGGTTTCACCATGTTGGCCAGGCTGGTCTTGAACTCTTGACCTCAAGTTATCCGCCCACCTCAGCCTCCCAAAGTGCTGGGATTATAGGTATGAGCCACTGTGCTCAGTCACAGATCTTAATTTTAATGTCTAGATAATGTTCTAAAAGCAAAATGCTTTCTCACAGACCTAAGACAGGTATAGTATAATGAAATCTAAAGTATATGCATTGGTAGAAAGGGTAGTATAGTCCATATATATATTCAGATGTATAAATTCTCTCCTTGCGGTGTAGATCCACACATTTCCCCTTTTATTTCTCTTTAGTACTAGGCTTAGCCATTTCACAAATCAATGAAAACAAAAAAATTTTCTTCCTAGTTTTTTCAGTAAAAATGTTTCAAGTATATTATTTCTCCAAATAGCTTGGAGAATTGGGGAAAAGCAAAAGAGATAAGGGGATAGGAAAAGCTAAATTAGATCCTGACTGGTGCAAAATTATGACACTTCCCCTAAAAAACTTGACAATCTGGTGACTGCATTAACAGATTACGTGCCATTCTTTCACCAATGAATTCCTTAATCCTGCCGCATATCTGAATAATGCAATATAACGTTATCTAAAATTCTTTGAAGAACAGTGGCTTTTTTTTTTTTTTTTTTTGAGAAACAGTGGCATTTTTTGTGTTTAACTTCATTTAAAAAACAACAACAAAAAAAATAGGGCCGGGCTGGGTGCGGTGGCACACACCTATAATCCCAACATTTGGGAGGCCAAGGCAGGCAGATAACTTTGAGCTCAGGAGTGCAAGACCAGCCTGGGCAACTTGGCGAGACCCCGTCTCTACAAAGAATACAAAAGCCAGGCTTGGTGGTGCATTCTTGTAGTCCCAGCTACTTGGGAGGCTGGGGCTGGAGGATTGCTTGAGCTGGGGAAGCAGAGGTTGCAGTGAGCTCAGATTGCGCCATTGTACAGCAGCCTGAGTGACTGGTATAATTAACAATAAAATTAAAAAATCAAAATTTTTTTACCACTTACGTTAAAAACAAGGGAAAGGAAGAGATTATGAATCTCTTTATGAATAAAGAGATTAGTCTATGAATAATGATTACTATAAACAAAAATGAGAATTAAAAAGACAGCTGAGGCCGGATGCAGTGGCTCACACCTATAATCCCAGCACTTTAGGATGCCGAGGCGGGTGGATCACCTGAGGTCAGGAGTTC